TATTAAAATAATATTATTTTAATGTATTTTTCATTTAATTTTTCTTAATACAAATTAATATCTACTTTTTTTATATTTCTTAATTTTTAAATTTCTTTAATAAAATCTTATTTTTTTTAAAAAGAATTACCCTTGAAAACAAATGTTTTTTTTTTTTTGACAAAATAAAACAAATGCCTTTTAAATATAGACAAACACCTTCTCCGTCTCCCAACATCTTGACCCTTAGACGTGATGAGGCACATGCACATTGTCCTTCCACTTGGTATTTTTTTGGTGTGTTTGAAGTTGATTGAATTAAATTTCATCATAAATTAGGCTCCTTAGAGATTGCTTGTGTGAATTTTTATTATTATTTTTTATTTACTCTTGTTGAACTTGACCTATTTTTTTATTGTAATCTCTAATTGTATTTTATGTTCTAGCATTTGTTCTTATAGTTTAGATAAATTTTTTTTTTTATGTAGATAACATATGCCGTCTATCTCAACATATGAATTCCCCTGAGTTATATAATTTTTTTTATGTAGATACCGTATGCCGTTTATTTTTTATTTTCACTAAAAAGTGAACAAAGTTAAAGTAGGTAATATGACAACTTTAATATCTTTTACACTGATGCAAAAAGTGACTAATGCAGATACTTTGGTGGAGATTATATAGATCAAGTCCTTTTTATGGTTAAAAAATTTAATTAATGATTGTGAATGCTTTTTATATGATTAAATTTGTAATTTTAAATTATGTATTAAATCAATAGTTATATAATTATGTATTGTACCACGTTATTCTGGTCGGTAAGAAGTTGCACTTCAAAGCTGAAAACAAGCTTACCTGGCCCAATGAAAGGGGAAGTGTTGGCCGGAGAGTGCAAGAGGCGAGTGCCCCTAGCACTGCTCTTTTTGCATTAGTAAGACTTGCCCCTGGCACTGCTATTTTTTGTATTAGTAAAACTTGAGATGAATGGATACTTTAAATTAATAAAGTTTAATTAACTGGTAAAAGAAATATCTTTTTCACTAATTCTTTTTTTTCTTTTTTTTTATAAGAATTTAACGAATTAAATTAGTAGTGCATCTAATCATAAAATCTAAAATTTCATATTATCGTAACAAGTAATACTTTGCCACCTTTTATAAAAAAAAAAAAGAAAAGTACAGCGATTAGGGCATTAGTGCTGTGCCCTCCCTGCTATTATTAACTTGTGCATTGCAAAATTGAATAAAAAGTTAAAGTAGTTTTTTTTTTTTTGTCAACAAGTTTAAAGTAGCTTATTTTGACAGTATTAACATTTTTTTCAATGCAAAATTGAATAAAGTTGGTATTAATGATTTTATCGGCCAATGTTTCACACATGGAAAAGAAAGAACATTATTTTATCTATTATTAATTAATATTTCTTATTAAATTTTATTATCATTAAAGTTTAAAAATTATCATTAAAGTTTAAAAATTAAAAAAAATTAAAATTTTATAATAGTGTTTAATAACTATTTTGTTTATCAATTTTAACCTTTTCTTTTTTAAATTTAATTTTAAATTGTGATTTTATTTTGAAGTTTTAATATTTAAAAAAAATTAAAATAATGATTATTTATTTACCTTTTATTATTAGCTAAAAATTGAAAACTAAATGAATTCAAAATAAAATTATTACTTAATTAATAAGATAAACCAAATTCAAAAATCTTATTTAAATTTAATTTGAATCTTATAAAGTAAAAAAACTTTTAGATTAGGTCATTTATTTAAATTTTAAAATAATAAGTAAAAAAAATCAAAAAATAAATTAAAAAATGACATCCACTATGCGTCAATATTATAGTCTATATTCATTTATTTTTATTTTGATGGAATATATTCAAATTATCAGCATCCCTCAACTTTAAATACTCTATATATACTCTTCTTGAGTACTCTATTGCGCCAAACAAAGATATGAGGATCTTCACAAAGCTCTCTGCACCACTCTCACTCTGCCTCCTTTTTGTCTTCCTCTGTCTTAAAACTGCCTTCTCATCCTCTATACATGCTTCTTCCTTCTCAACAACACATCTCTGCTCTCATGAGGAGGCTCTTGCTTTGCTTCAATTCAAGACATCCTTCTCCATCGATTACACTGTTCCGTATCCAGATTCTTGTGGGGAAAATTATTCTAAGATTGACTCATGGAAGGGAGGTATAGACTGTTGTTCCTGGGATGGGGTTAGCTGTGATAATGTCACAGGCCATGTAATTGCCCTTAATCTCAGCTGCAGTTTCCTTTATGGCACCTTTCCTTCCAACAGCACTCTTTTCTTCCTCAGAAACCTGCAGAGCCTCAATCTTGCCTTGAATGATTTTAGGCATTCCAAGATTCCATTGGAAATCAGTCAGTTTACTAGACTAAAGCATCTTGATGTCTCTTCTTCTCAATTTTCGGGCCAAGTTCCGAGAGAAATTGCTCACCTCCCCAAGTTAGTTTCTCTCAATCTCTCTTATTCTGAATTGATCCTTGAAACAACTACCTTCAGAAATCTTGTTCACAACTTGAGCGAGGTGAGAGAACTTGTGCTTAGTGGAGTGAACATGACATCTGTTAATCCTCATTTCTTCATGAATCTCTCTTCTTCATTGACTACTCTTGATCTCTGGGAGAGTGCATTAAGAGGAAACTTTCCAAACAGTATTTTCCGCTTTCCAAATCTCAAGAATTTTTATTTAAGTGGAAACTGGAACCTCACTATTGATCTTCCAAGTTCCAATTGGAGCAGTCCTCTCCAACAGTTGTATTTAGATGATATGGATTGCGGAAGGCAATTGCGAGAGTCTATAGGAGATCTAAAGTCATTACAGTCTCTGGGTCTTGGCTGCAACTTGGAAGGTTCCATTCCAGCTTCCATAGGGAACTTATCTCAACTTACTTACCTAAGCCTCTCTCATAACAATCTTAGCGGACAAATCCCACCATCACTTGCAAACCTCACCCAACTTACCTCTCTTCACCTTTCCAATAATCAGTTTTCTGGTCCATTTCTAGCTTCCATATGTAACTTAAGGCAACTTACTAGCCTAGGCCTCTATTCTAGCAATCTTAGCGAACAAATCCCATCATCACTTGCAAACCTCACCCAACTTACCTCTCTTGACCTTTCCGATAATCAGTTTTCTGGTCCCATTCCAGCTTCCATAGGTAACTTAAGGCAACTTACTAGCCTATACCTCCTTTTTAACAATCTTAGCGAACAAATCCCATCATCACTTGCAAACCTCACCCAACTTACCTCTCTTGACCTTTCATTTAATCAGTTTTCTGGTCCCATTCCAGCTTCCATAGGTAACTTAAGGCAACTTACTAGCCTACACCTCCTTTTTAACAATCTTAGCGAACAAATCCCATCATCACTTGCAAACCTCACCCAACTTACCTCTCTTGACCTTTCATATAATCAGTTTTCTGGTCCCATTCCAGCTTCCATAGGTAACTTAAGGCAACTTACTAGCCTAGGCCTCTATTCTAACAATTTTAGCGGACAAATCCCATCATCACTTGCAAACCTCACCCAACTTACCTTTCTTGACCTTTTCAATAATCAGTTTTCTGGTCCCATTCCAGCTTCCATAGGTAACTTAAGGCAACTTACTAGCCTATACCTCTCTTCTAACAATCTTAGCGAACAAATCCCATCATCACTTGCAAACCTCACCCAACTTGCCTTTCTTGAACTTTGCTATAATCAGTTTTCTAGTCCCATTCCAGCTTCCATAGGTAACTTAAGGCAACTCACTCGGCTATACCTCAATTCTAACAATCTTAGTGGACAAATCCCATCATCACTTGCAAACCTCACCCAACTTACCACTCTTGACCTTTCATATAATCAGTTTTCTGGTCCCATTCCAGCTTCCACAGGGAACTTATCTCAACTATCTGACCTAAGCCTCTCTTCCAACAATTTTAACGGACAAATCCCATCATCACTTGCAAACCTCACACAACTTCGCTATCTCATCCTTCCTCGTAACTTACTTAATGGCACGTTGCCACCTTGGATTTTCACCCTACCTTTGTTAGAGTACTTGGATCTCAGTCATAACCAACTTCAAGGTCAAATAAATGAATTCCAGAAAAACTCACTCACACACCTAGATTTGTCAAACAATAAACTCCAGGGCTCAATTCCTAACTCAATTGCTAATTTAGTAAATCTTAGTTATCTCAATTTATCATCAAATCATTTTGCTGATTTAAGAGTACCTGACATGTTCTCGGTGCTTCAAAATCTCGAAATTCTTGACCTTTCTCATAACAACTTAATCGGGAAGATTCCAAATTGTCTTCCTAAGTCTCTCTCAGTGCTGAATTTGCAGGCCAATTACTTTGATGGAAATATAGCATTTGGGTTTCCAGAGGGCTGTGGATTACGAAATCTCAACTTTCATGGAAATCAAATGGACGGCTTATTACCAAGGTCTTTGGTGAATTGTCGCATGTTAGAGGTTCTAGACGTTGGCAACAACAGCATAGAGGATACATTCCCTCATTGGTTGGAATCTCTACCACACCTTCAAGTGCTTGTCTTAAGGTCCAACAAGTTCCACGGTTCTGTGCAGAGCACCAAAGAAAGTCCATCTTTTCCCAAGTTGCGAGTTCTGGACCTCTCCAGCAATCATTTTGTTGGTCCTTTGCCTGTTCGGTACATTGAAAATTTTAATGCGATGATGGACCCTCATAAAGATGGTGGTTCCCCTAAATACATGATGGTGTCGACGAGAGCCAATTCTTATCAATATTCAGTGGTTGTGACATGGAAGGGATTCGAGTATGAGCTGCAGAAAATCTTGACCATATTCAGTAGTATTCATCTCTCAAATAACATGTTTGAGGGAGAAATTCCAGATGTTATTGGAAAGCTTAGTTCTCTCAAAGGGCTTAATCTTTCTCATAACAACCTTACTGGTCATATCCCACCGTCACTAGGGAATTTGATGAATCTGGAATGGTTGGATCTCTCTTCCAATGAGCTGGCAGGGAAAATTCCTGATGCATTGGTATCTTTGACACAACTCTCTGTATTGAATCTTTCAAATAATCATCTCATCGGACGCATACCACAAGGCAATCAGTTCAACACCTTTGGAAATGGTTCTTATGAAGGAAACCTTGGACTGTGTGGATTCCCATTGTCAAAATCTTGTGATGGAATTGGGACACCGCCGAGCTCGTTCCAAGAAAAAGATGAGTTGCGGAGATTTGGCTGGAGAGTTGTGGTGTTAGGCTATGGATGTGGAGTTGTTTTTGGACTGCTGATGGGATATCTTGTCTTCCGAACAGGAAAACCAAAATGGTTTGTGTCTTTGTTTGATGGCCGACGAAGTCAAAGTGGAAGGAAGATGAGGAAAGCCAGAAGACTTGTTCAAAGAAGAAGCTAGTTGCAGAGTTGATGTTTCAGAGCTTCTGATTTAATGTTTCCTAAATAAGTGCTTTTCGGGTTTGAAGTTGTTGTTATGGTTGGCATTGGCTTGTCTAAAATTGTCAGCCTTCTCGTCTTTATTATGCTTTGTAATTTTGTCTTTTCTTTATTATAAAATATATTTGAAGGTTTAAGCTGTTAATCGTTCTTAGTTGTCCAATTAATCTACTTCCTTTAGCAGACTCATAAAAATTCTTGTTTTGGATTTTGATGGAATCATTTCATAAGTGGGGAATCTGGGTTTTTGGATGGTCATCGTCTTGGGGATATAACTGTAATTGTCATGTTGGGAAGGGTAAGTCTTATGATTTGGGCTTCGGTCTCTCTCTCTCGCACTCGCTTTCGGCAACATCTTCCTTCACAACAGAAAGAATCCAATGGAAGGAGATTATCAGCATCACAGACTCACCTCAATTTCACCTCTTTAGGGTTCCTCTTCTATTATGAATCCCAACTCCTCCGTTCCATCTACAGTGAATCCATCAATACCCATCCTATTATCCCTCAGCCTCTGTTTTTACCTCGTCACCTAGCATACTCAATTCCAACGGGAAGAAGGAATAGGATTGGGAAAGGGAATACAGTTTCGGTTTTTTTTTTTTTTTTTCCTGAATTTTTAACATTTTCCTTCAGCTATAACTATTGTGGGGGGGTTGAGGCACCTGAATCCGCTGTTATCAATCGACCCTCCGTCATTTCCGGATCCAAGTGTTTGGGTTTCGTGCAACACAATTGAAATTTGAAATACCCAATAAAATTTTCATCCAAAAGTAGTCACTTCCCATGTCGTATAGTCTCCAATTGTTTCAATCCGTCCATTTTTGGTGGAATTTACAGTTTGAGATTGTGAATACTTGGCATTGTTGGTACTAGAGCTCTTCTGAGATCGTTAAGTGAAAAAACATTGATCTGGGTGGTGACCAAGGTGAGGTTTTAGGCCTGGATTTTGAGTCTCTGAAGATTTTGCTGAAGTGGGGGGTCTTTCTGGGGGCGATGTTTTGTGGTTTTTTGGTTTTCTGGTGCAGGAGGGTGCTTGCGGTGGAGGGAATGCAAGGTACGGAGTGATTGAGCAGTGGGCATTGTTGTTGAGGAATGCGTGGCCTAAGGTTAGTGGTGAATGCAAGGTACGGAGTGATTAACCGTTCATTTCTCTCTTTTTCCTCCTTAATTTTTATGACATGTTTAGTGTTTTGGCCAATCTCCCCTCCCTGCCTATGAACCAGCTTTTGACTGGGAAAATGAGAGGTCAATGATATTTGGCCAGAGGACTCCAGAGACCCCTGTGGTACACCATGGCAGTTTCAGAATCTTGCTCGTTACTAAAATTATGTTGAGATTTATTGGTTTGCTTTAGATCAATCTCTCACAGTCTATGATATCTTGTCTGTTGGGATGGGTGGCCTTAGTGGATTGAAGATCTCTGTGAAAGTTCTGTCCCTTGCGTTTCAAGCTGGAATCGTTGGTTAGTGTTCTTTCCCTGTTATCCACAAGCTGCTGCATCTTTATAATGTTAAGACCTAGTTCCCTCTATTTGTCTCAGAGCCATTCTATGGTACAATTTGCTTATACAATAGGGAGAGAAGAGAAAAATTGTCAGAAGATTTCTATCTCAGCATTCTACCAACTGAAATGCGGGATGTAAGCCTTAAAACTAATTTAGCATTAAATTCTTTGGTGCTTTCGTTTTTCATATTGATGACTTAAAAATCCACTCTTTCTCATTTACCTGGACAGACTAATAAAGTATCTTTAGAACTTCGTGGACTTTTCTATTTAGATGCTCCGTCAGCATCTGTGTGTCTACTAATCCAATTAGAGAAGCCTGCAACAGAAGAAGGGGGAGTGACTCCTTCTGTTTATTCA